TGGGAAGGATGTGTGCTCCAGCGAGGTAGGTTCCCAGAGGAGATGCCGTTGGGGATGACACGGCTCTGGCCCTTGTGGCTTGTTATTGTGAGTTTGAACCTAGAGAAAATTCACTGGGAGAGTTGAGAGTGCCTTGCCCCCTCCTCTGCTCCTTTCCTGATGGAGAGTAGCCCCTGACTTTGAGGTCAGCTGCCTTCAAATCCAGGTTCTACCACTTGCAAGCTGGGTGGTTAAAATTATTTAATCTTTTGGAGTCTCCATTCTCATTGTCTGCAAAATGTGATAGTAACACCTTCCTCCTAGAATTGAGGGGAGGATTCAGTGGGTCCTACCCTGAAGTGTTTGTAAGGTACCTGGCACAAGGCAAGCAGGCTCTCAGTAAACAGTAGCTAATAATGCTTCCTGGGTTCAGCACCAGCTGAGAGCCTAGGGGTTTGGAGGAGGCAGGCTTATACGCTAGGGGCTCATTTGTTTACTGGATGTTGGTGTTTCTAATTGTGTGCTAAGCCCTGTACTACCTGCTGAAGATTTAGACCCAAATCACATAGCCCTGTCCTCACCTCCAGGAGCTCAGACACCTCCACCCAGGGCCTCCCTGTGGGGCAGGTGCATTGGAGCCCTTTCTGCCTAACAAGAGCATTTGATCACTGGCTGCTGCCCTATGCTGAGTCCATTCTGTCTGTTCTTGGAACGTTTTAGGTAAACGTCTGGGGAGGAATCAAGATAGGTATGTTAAGGCAGTTCGTGGGTTCTGGGTACCGGGGAGGCTCTTCAACGAGGCGGACCGCTGTCCTGATTTGGTGTCAGGCAGACAGGAGTGTTTATTTCCACCACTTAAACCTACCTTGAGCAAGTCTCATTTGTTTGCCCCTTTGAGCCTGTTTCCTTGCCTGCCGAATGGAGATGGAGGTTTATGCGAGCTGTCTCATAGTGTCGTGGTGACGATGGCACCTAGTCAGCTCAGAAACAGTGTGAGGTGTTGCTTCTGCATTGCTTAGTTTACCGAGACCTTAAAAACAGCGGAACGGTAACAATACAGGCTGGTTTCAAAAACCCAAACACTCCAGAGGCGCACAAAATAGAAAATAAAAGTCATTCCTTCCTGCCCACTGTCCCTTTTTCATATCAAGAGGTGGGTGCTGTCTTGAAATGATTTTGTCTTCCACTAATGGGAATGTTTTAACGACATGCGCGTTCTAAACCTCAAGTGACCACGGGAAGCAGGAGATAGGAATGTTTTAGGTGTACCTTAATAGAAATAAAGTTAAGTAAAAGACATTTTATATATGATTCCCAAGCACTGTCACTTTGGTCCCTTCCTGTCCTCTTAAGAAAAAAAAAAAGGCCTTTGTAATTCTTTGCCCACCCTGGACAAATCATAATGTCCTGTTGGTGATACTTAGTGGTGGCAAAGAGTGGATTTAGTTACAGGGCCTGCTCTCCAAAGATCTGAAAGCTGTAGGATTTGGTTGTGACATGGGAGTTGAAGTATGGTCAAGGTGGGCCGTGTGCTCTCTGATGTGAGCTTGTTAGGGTAAAGAGGCAGCACCGTCTGTGATAGTTTAGGAGTGGGGAGGGCTCCGGGAGTTGGGAGTATAGAGTTCTTTTAGTGTGGGTAAGGTCTTTGTAATGTTGGTTTATTATAAATAATCAATGAATAATATTAGTGTATTTGCGTTGAGGGCACATGTTCCTCTTTTCTCCCTTACTGAGATGACAGGTTGGCACATCTGTGAAGGCCCCTGGGGAACACCGGGCTCTTATTTTCGGGTGGTCCTTTGTCGTTATTTCAGACCTGGTCTTGCCTGTTTGGCGGCCCAGTGACTGTAATCGTCCTGGGTCTCCTCTGGTGCCTGAGGCTTGGAGAATAAATAGGTGTAGGTTCTTGAGGTATAGTCCTTTGGGCTCTGTTTTGGGTCATTTAAACCAACTCAGCCCTTCTAGCCCCTCTGCCTTCAGTATATTTGGATTTGTTTATTTACTTTCATCCAAGAGAGGGTGAATTTGTGGGGGCTGAGTTGATGCGCCGTGTCTGTATGAGCAAACACACTACCGCCCGTGGCTCAGCTCTGAGATGATATGGTAGAGGGAGAAGAGCAAGGAGTGACCTTGGCCTGTTACTGCACCTCGCAGCCTTGGTTTCCTCCTCTGAGCAGGGCCGACGGTAAAGACAGCCACCTCAGCGGTTGTTGGCAGGGTCCTCTGCACAGCTGTATTACTATTCAGCCAGCTTGACGGAGTATTTCCTCTCTCCGATTGGAGGGTGGCATTACATCCAGGCGGAATGGTTTGTTGCTAAGGAGTCTCCTTGGGGGCTTCTGAGGAAGCCACTGTTGCCTCTTTTCTGCCTCCTCAAAGTTGAAGGGGGGCAGTGCCACAGTCGGGGAGGGGTTGGAAGAGGAAAGTGGGGTTTTTGTTTTAAGTGGCCTGTGTTCTGTGTCCCTCGGGGTATTTTCTCCTAGGAGGGCATCCGACTCCTGAGTAATTGACCTAATTAAAGGTCTGGGGTCTGCAGCGCTGCTGGTTTCTTTGGGCGTGAAACACCTCTCTCTCTTCCTTCGCCTTTCTTCCTGCCTTTCAGTTCTTTGTCACAAACTAGAAATGTGCTTCATAGAAAAATCAGATGGTACTCAAATACTGGCCCAAGTGTGTAAAGGCACATGTCCTGGCATGTCGGTCGTAGCATCATTTGTCGTAGTGCACGGTTGGAAATAGTTTACGTGTCTACTTGTCGGGCAGTGGGAAAGCAGTGTGGCGCAGCTACGCAGTGAGATACCATGTAGGCATTAAAAAGAATGAGGCAGAGCAGGATGTGTTTTCTTGGAAAGATGACCAGAGCATAATAAGAGAAGAAAGCAAGCTGCAGCATAGTGTAGTAACTTCCCACAGGTCTAGATGAAAGTTGAAGACACAGACTGTGGATAGGTTTATGCTAGCTGAGAAAGCAAGCACGGAGGGCATCTACCGTGTTAACAGCGGTTACCTTTTGAGTTGGACTGATTTGCACACTTTAGTATCATTTGAATTTGTTATGCTGTATGTGTATTAGTAACGTGTATTAGTTACAAGGATAACTGATTACAAAGGTTACCCATATAAATTTGAAAAACAGACACACCTGTGGGGGGTGGTCTGGGTCAGGACTGAGTGGCTGGTGCATTATTGGCTCTTTCCTGGCAAGAGCTTTGCCTGGGACCCTTAATTTGCTCAGACCCATCCCGAGTGCCCTGGCCCCTGGTGCTGGGGCCCCTACGGTTCACGTTTTTCCAGCGGATTCTGTCACCTGTCTCTGTTTATGTGTCAGTGGCCCTTGGAAACTTCTTTTTGATCTGGTTAGAAGAAACAATCCGATACAAATGCTGTCTCCAATTTCTGTTCTCTGCTAAATCGGATTTTACCACACAGAACGGAGGTTTTGGTGGCATTTGCAGGGTACTTCTCACTTGATAATTCACCAATATTAGGAGGTGGAAAAGGAAGGAGAAACTGAAATAGAGCTATGTGTCTTATATGTTCCTTTTATTTGCCAAGTCCCTGGTCACTTTTGACCTTGGAGAGCGAGGCCTACATGTGGCACATCTGTCCAGCTGTCCATCCCCCGCTGTGTATGGAAATTGTCTTTTTTTTTTTGCTTGCTAAATTAACTGCATATTCAAAAGATAAGGTAGGCCAGTAACTCTTTGCAGACTGCAAATGGATTGCTAGCCAGAGTCCTCTGCAGGCTTCATTCAGCCGGAGCCCGTGTGCCTGGGAGCTAGGTGGTGGGGACTGACCCCACCGCCCAGGGAGAAAGGAGCCATAACAGAGTTTAAGTTGGTCAGGAGTTACCACAAGGGTCACTGGGACCATCCAGCAAGTGCTGTGCTTGGGGAGACTCAAGACACGCCTGTGGGTGAGGAGCCCAGAGCTGGTGCACACCCTGGGGCCACGGGACCCTGTATCACAGTCGAGTTCCTCCCCTGATGCAGTGCCGGCTCAGACCGTCCCTGTCCCCAGGCCAGACTTGCCCTGCACGTTCGCCATAGCCCCGGGAGTACTGGCAGAGCCTGGGAGTACTGTGGGCATTTTATCCTGGGCCTCAGGGCCCCTGGATGGCCCTGTGGGCATTCTCTGGGGCCCACAGGTGGCCCTCATAATTACAGTAGCATGGCTTGTTTCCCTTGTGCCCACTGAGTGCCCGTACTTCCAGAGCAGACCTGGATGTCAGGCTGACCTGGGTTCAAGTTCAGGCTTTGCAGTGCCCTAACTTGATGGTAGTGACCTTAGGCCAGTCGTTTAATGTCACTGAGCCTTGGTGTCTTGTCTATAAAGTGAGGGTGCAAATACCTTTTGGTGGTTTATCGCTTTTGTTTCTTGTTTCAAAGAACTCCTATGTTTAAATTAAGTTTTATTCAAATTACTTTTCATTAAATTACTTTTGGCTTTTTCTTCATTAGTTGTTTCTGCTTTCCTTCGCGTTCAATTCTCTTTTCTGACTTCTTAAATTGGATGCTTGATTTTACTTTGTTCTTTTCTGTTAGGAATTTAAAGTTTTTAGATTATTAAATTTCCTCTGAGTACAAATTGTCTTTGTTTTAAAAAGTTTGCGTGTGGAGTGTTCTTTTCTTTATTTAATGCTATTTTCTAGGTATTCTGCAGCCATGGTTTTGAATTCCCCTTTGATTCAAAAGTGTTTTAATAGAGTTTTAGGTTTTCCAACTGACAGGGTTATTTTTACTTCTACTTTCACTATGTTTTGTTTTATTGCACTCTGGTCAGAGATTTTTGCTTTTCAGAATGTGGGATTTTCCTTAAAGTCTCATATATCACTTTTTGAACATGTTTGCTGATCTGCCTTAATCATTTCATCTATCATCTCTATCTGAGTAGGCTTGATTTATTAAGGTGTAACGGTTTCTCTTTTTATTTTTGGGGAAGATTAGCCCTGAGCTAACATCTGCCATCAATCCTCCTCTTTTTGCTGGGGAAGAGTGGCCCTGAGCTAACGTCTCTGCCCATCTTCCTGTATTTTATATGTAGGATGCCTGCCACAGCATGGCTTGATAAATGGTGCATAGATGCACTCCTGGGATCGAAACCAGTGAACCACGCGGGCCCCCAAAGCAGACCATGTGAATTTAATTGCTACGCCACTGGGCTGGCCCTGAGATTTCTGTTTTTTCCAATCTTATAATAATTTCTTTTTTCATTTTAAAGTTACTGTGCATATGTAAGTTCACACAAAGTTATATTTTCATTATAGATTGTCCCGGACCCTTATAAAATGATGCTCTCTTTTGTATCTGGCTTATTTCATTCGCTATTATATTTGTGAGTTTTATCTATGTAGTTGTGTATGAGTTTGTTCTTTCTCGTTGAATGGAATTCCATTACGTGAATATAATATTTATTCATTCTAGTGGTGATAGACTTTTAGGTTGTTTCCGTTTTGAGCTATTCTGAATAATGCTGCCATTGACATTCTTGGAGTGTCCTTCCTTGCGTGTGTGTACGTGCTCTGTTGGGTGTACACGCAGGAGGGGAATTGCTGGGTCTCAGGGTACGCTTATGTTGAGCTTTAGTAGGCGGCTGCCAGTTTTCCAGTGATTCTCCCACTTGCCCTGCCCACCAGCAGTGCACGAGAGTTGTCCTTGATCCGCATACTCGCCAGCCCTTAGTGTTGTGAAGATGTTGGTTCCCCCCAAATTGATCCCTAGATTCCGTATAATTCTGATTAAAATCCCAGCAGGCTTTTCTTTTGTTGTTGTTTTGTTTGGAAATTGACAAACTGATTCTGACATTTGTGTGAAAATGCAAAGGGCCAGGAATAATCAAAGCTTGAAGAGGGACAGAGCTGAAGGACTTAACCTACTAGATGTCGAGACAGCACAATGTAAGGATGTTAAAGTGGCACAGTGTTGGCAAAAGGACAGACAGACAGGCCGATAGAATAGAATAGAAATCTTGAAACAGACTGCACATAGTTTATGACAAAGGGAAAAGAAGGCGTTTTCAAAAAGGTACTGGGAAAATTGGATTCTCTGTATAGGAAAAAAAATGAATCTCCTACCTCAAATCATATCCAGAATCAGTTTTAGATAGATTATAGAGCTAAACATGAAAGATAAAACAATGAAGCTTCTAGAAGAAAACATAGAATATCCTTATGATCATGGAGAAGACAAAATTCCTTAAATAGGACGCAGAAAGCACTACCAAAATAGAAAAGATTGATATCGAACTACGTTAAAACTTGTATCTTCTACTTTTTTACAAATGCTCTAATAAAGTGCAACAAATGCTATTTTCTGATTGCCCAGATACGTCAGATAATCCGTCAGTTCCATTGCTCCCCTGGAAGCCTTTGTCCTGCTCTCTTCAGGCCCAGTTCCTCTCTTGCCCGTAGCACAGCTTCCATGTGGGGCTTCCTTTGCTTGTCATTTCTGCGGCTTGTCTTTGTCCCTGTGTTGGAGCTCTCGTTCTGTGGATCCTATGTTGTATCTGGTAATTTGAGCATCAAATAATAGCAGCTATCTTAAGCCGCCTTAAACAATAAGGACGTTTATTGACTCAAGTAAGTGGAAGTCCAGAGGTGGGCAGGTTTCTGATTGGTTGGTCCAGTGGTTCCATGTTGTCATTAAGGAACCAGGTGTCCTGTTTGTCTGGGTGAGTCACGTACACATTCTGAGCCAATCACCAGCAAGGGGGATGGGTTTCTCTTACACCAGGCAGGCCCCCTCCACCTCAGCTGGGTGTGGGTCCAGCCACCTCAGGCCCGCCCCAGGCCCCTGTGCTGCCGTGCGAAGAGAAGAGAGAACTTCCTGTAAGAAGGAGGAGGGGAGAATTAGCTGCTGGCAGGCGGGAATGACCGCTGTGACATTTGCCTCTGTCTTGCTTGTTAGAGCATATTCCCCTGCAACTTTCTGAGAAGGTAAATGTTTTGAGTCCTTGTGTGAATCTGAAAAAAATCTTTTTTTAATCCCCACCCTTGACTTGGTCAGCTGACTATTGGATTCTGGACTGAAAGTCATTTCCCAGGGAAGGGAATGATGCTGGTAGAAGCTCATCATTGTTGCTCATGAGAAGTCATTGTTGTTCTGTCCCGCGACCTTTCTTAGGGGCAAGGCTGCGCTCTCAGAAGCTTTTGGGTTCTTGTCTTTATCCCCAACGTACTGAGGTTTCATGATATCCCTCGTGTTCTTTTTACACCCGTGTTCTGAGGCCTTGTTGGGCCCTTGCAAATCTTGGGTACTTCAACTCTGGGAATTTTTCTTGTGGTTTTTATTTGATAATTTCTTCCCCTCCTTTTTTTTCTCTGTTTCTGGAACTCCTAGTTAAATTTGAACTCCTGGATTAATCCTTTAATTGGGAGGCGGGGGGTGGCTAGCATTCATTTCCTTGTTAATATTTCTGAAATTTGCTTGACTTTCATCTTCCATCTCTTCTATTGAATTAAAATTTAAAAGTTTTTTAGAATAGTTTGGATTTACAGAAATGTTGGAGTTCCCATATACCTTGCTCCCAGTTTCCCCTGTTAGACATTTTACATTAGCATGGTACATTTGTACCAACTAATTAACCAATATTGATACATGATTATTAACTAAAGTCTATACGTTATTCACATTTCCTTGGTTTCTGCCTAATGTCCTTTTTCTGTTCCAGGATATCACATTTAGTTGTCGTGTCTCTTAGGTTCCTCTAGCCTGTGACAGCCGCCAGACTTTCCTTGTTTCTGAGGGCTTTGACAGTTTTGAGGAATTCTGGTCAGGTATTTTGTAGAATGCCCTTTAATCGGGATTTGTCTGATATTTTTCTCATGATTAACGTGAGGTCATGGGGTTTTGGCTATCATGTGCTTAATTCTTCCTAGGGCTTTTTCTTTCTTTCTTTCTTTCTTTCTTTCTTTTAATTAAAGATTGGCACCTGAGCTAACAACTGTTGCCAGTCTTTTTTTTTTCTGCCTTTTCTCCCCAAAGCTCCCCAGTACGTAGTTGTATATTTTAGTTGTGGGTCCTTCTAGTTGTGGCATGTGGGATGCTGCCTCAGCATGGCCTGACCAGCAGTGCCATGTCCACACCCAGAATCCAACCAGCGAAACCCTGGGCTGCCGCAGTGCGCGCAAGCTTAACCACTAAGCCGTGGGGCCGGCCCCCTAGGGCTTTTTCTTGTTTGCTGATTGTCCCTTAAGAAAAAAAAATCCTGGTTTTGTTTTTTTTGCATGGGTGCAGTACCTTCTCTTAGTTTTCTGAGGATATTAATTTTATGTTACGTATCTTTTCCTTTGGTTCCTGGCGTTGTCTGTTTCCTCCAGGTTCTTCTCTGTGTCTCTTTGGTATCTGTCCTTTAGTTGTGGTCTCTCAGGTGTCTGTGGTCTTGGGCACGTGCAGTGATTAGAAACTGGATAGTGGGTCACTGGGAGCTCTTTTGCTGTCGAGTGGGTGGATGGGAGGCCGGCCTTTTTTCTTCAGCCCCAAGTATAGATGTCTATAGGTTTTCTGTAGACGACTCCATCTTTGCCTGGGGTCTGGAGAGAGGGGCGCATGTTTGTCTGCCACCCTCTGTGAGGCCAGCAGCAGAGGGACCCGAGGGTCCCGGGGTTTGCTACTCAGATTTTGTTTCAGCTTCTTTCCTCACCCCCACCCACTTTGACCCTGGTGTTCTCAAGTCTAGACTTCTCTTATTTAATTTATCCGGAACGGGGTGTGGAGGGGAGGTGATGGGGAGGCCAGTGTTACCCGTGCAGCCTTTCAACAGGTCCTCCCACCTTTAAAGCCCCACCGGGGCCCCGTCTTACAAGGCGCCTCCTGGCGCCTCCTGAGCTCCCTGATGTTCTGGGGGTCAGTGGGAGGTTTGCTGCCCTGCGCTCCTCAGTTTGTAGGATCCTTCAGTCTGCTAAATCTCTTGCCACTCGTGTCTGTTCTTTGTCTGCCGAAACCATCCCTATCTTTTGGGTTCTCTTTGTCCTTTATGTTCATTTTAGGGGGTTTTGGAAGGGTGAGCTGTAAGTGCCTGTGGTCCTTCTGCCATATTAGGCAGAACCTCCCTGTATTCTAAATAGTGTTTCTATGAATTGATTGAAAGTAAATTAAGGGCCACTTCTGGGGAGGCTGTGTGTGTAGACAGGTAGACCCTGTCGTATTTGTGTACATGTATGTTTGAGTAACTGTTGGTAAGCACATTTGTCAGTTACACCACTCTGCTCTTCTCACGGATCGGTCCCCCGTGTCGTTTTGTGTTGGAACATCTAGAGCTACCTTTGCTGGAGCGGCTGTGGAGCACTCTGAGTCCCAGAAGAAAGGGCAGGTCGGGGTTCTCGTCGTTTGTCACTCCTTCCTTACGTTTGTGGGGAGTGAACTCTGCCCTTCCCCTCTGGAGCTCCTGAGAAGGGAGGGGGGCCTGGAGGTGCTCAGGTGCCTGGGAGCCACGACTTGGGGACGAGCGAAGTCCCTGTGCCCGTCTGTGGAATTCCTCCTCTGTGCCTCTGAGTGCTCCATTAGGGGTGTTTGTATCACACCTTGTGACTGTTATCTCTGTCCTTCCAGCAACCTTCTAAAGTAGATACTCTGTCCCCGCTGTGCAGAAGAGCAAACGTAAATGGCTGAGGTGGCGTTTGGGCTCCTCCCATTCTGGCCATTTGTGCGTAGAGAGAGCCGCTGCCCGCAGGAGGGCACGCGTCCTCGGCAGGGAGGGTTTGCCCAGAGAGGCGCGTCAGTGCCCTTGGCTAGGTTGGAGTTTGAACAGCCCCGTCAGCAGGGGCTGGTATTTGGTAGACGATAGAACCGGACTCTGCCTCCCCACCCTCCTGCGTGCTTTCAGCAGCGAGTCTCTGAGAACACGAGGTTTGGCAAGGTGGGAGGGCCGCCTTCTCCTGGGCCAGAGAAGGGCACTGCCCATTCATCCTCCCTCTGCTCTGGTGCCAGATTCTAGCTGCTACAGATGACGTTCCTACGGGGAAGGCCGTGGGTGTGAACAGTCGCTGTGCTGCGGGGCCCGAGTGCTTGTCCTGGGCCTCTATGCAGTCCTTTCTGAGCTTTCCTTCAAACCATTTTCTGGGGGCTGGCCCCCTGGCTGAGGGGTTAAAGTTGCACATGCTCCGCTTCAGTGGCCCAGATTAGTGGGTTTGGATCTGGGCGTGGACCTGCTCCACTCGTCAGCCATGCTGTGGAGGCCTCCCACATACAAAGTGGAGGAAGGGTGGCACAGATGTGAGCTCAGGGCTAATCTTCCTCAGCAGAAAAACCCGCCAAAAATTTTCATCGTGTTTTTAAACAAATAGCAAATCTTTTTGGAATTTATGTACAGTGTTTTATGACCTTCATTGCTGGACTCTTTTGAAATAGGAAACAAAAACACAATAGGACAGAGTAGCAAGAGACAGATAGTTAGTATTGCAACATGGTGGCCCCAGAATTTAAGTGACTTGTGCTGGTGAAGAAAGATCCATCAGTGTAGCTGGGAGCTGGGCTGCGGGTGATAATTTTTCTTGAGGCTTTACAGTTTTTCTCTACCAAGCATTTCTCTACCAACATTTTTTGTTACTAAAAAATGTTCCGGGTAAACAAATGAGCAGGACTGGGCTCCTGCACCTCCAGGAAGGGTCTATTGCAGCCCCAGGGTGTGATTGCCGGGAATAACCGTGCTTATGGTCCTGAAGTGGGAAACCTTGAAACTGGGGCAGTTTCTTGTTGTTTAAAATGTGGTCACAGCGGAGTGTTTACCTCAGGAGGGTTTTCTGAGAATTAAAGTGCATCTCTGTCTCCTGAGAGTTAATTAAAGGGGTCTGCCGGCAGGTCCTAAACATCTGTGATTTTATGCTCATGGTTTTGAAGGTCTCTCTGCCTCGTACCGCTTAGGCTGTGATGCGCCAAAGTGGGGACAGATCTCTGGAGCACGGGAGGTGGAAGCACAGGTGCCAGGTGTGTGGGCACCTGGGGCTGTGAGGGCCTGGAGGTGGGTGGGAAATTGGAGGCCACCGTGGTTGCCTAGGAGCCTGGCAGGATGAGTGTTGTAAGGGCGACAATGGGGCTGGGCAGCTGGGAGGTGACGAGTGAAGAGCTGGGCTGAGAGCTGCCGTTGGTGAGAACCTTCTACTGGCGAGTGGGGACTGGGTCACCTGTGTTGTGTTCCTTCTCCCGTTTATTCCTGATGTCAGCCCTGTGAGGTGTGGGTAGCAGTATGTTCATTTCTGTTTAATCCACGAGGAAACAGGCCTAAAGTCACAGCCACTGTGGAGCAGAGGCGAGATGCAAACCACATGTTTTGGAGAGGTGAGACTGGGGGGAAGTCGGGGGGTGGTCCGTGGTGGGATGAGATGGGGTGGCGTTTTGAGGCCAGTGTGTTGGGCTAGAGGGTTTAGACTTGACCCTGGAGCAGTAGGATGATGCTGAAGTCTGAGCAGCTGTGCAGGATCTCTCTGGTTCTGGCAGAGGAGGGATTGAGGACCGGTCAGGGAGAGCTGATTCTGCCTGTGGTTCAGGGAGGCAAGGGTGGGGCTTAAAAACCCAGCTGTGCAGGAGAATTGGGGATGGGGAAGTGCTTTGTTCCCCCCCCACCGGCCTTGTTTCTTATTTTTAATTTCTGTTGCTTCCTCTCGGGGGTGTGGCCCTCTTTTGGTGGTGACTTGTATGGACGTTGGGTTACCAGAAACCGCAGTCCCATCCTTTTGTTGTTCCCTCACACCTCCTTTTCAAGCAGCTTATTCTTGGAGAGGTGTGTGCTGTGTTCTGCAGGCACCACATACCTTTCTGGCACAGAGCTCGCTCGCTTGGGCTTCTGCAGGTGGAGTGACTGGATTGTGTCGCAGGCTGTCCAGGCTCTCGCTTTCCAGATGGGAACGGAGAGATGTGGGCGCTCTGTGCTTCTTGCAAGCCACCTCTGCTCTTCTGACTGGTCCCTGTAGGGAGCCTCTGAGAGCTGGAGGTGTGGGGA